TTCCACTCTGTTCCATCAAAAATGTTAATCTACAATGACTATTTAAATGAGATCTTCGATATTTCTGAACAATCTATTGCAGGACATCCACTTATTTCGTTCACGTTGTTATTACATTATCGTTTTCTTCCTCCTCACTGCTGCAGCTAGCAACTTCTCCATTCTCTATACTATAAGTGCTTCTAGCTATGAAACCTCAATGCATTTAAGTAGATCCCTTCAATTATGCCACCAGTTTCCTTGTGTTTTCTTTGCATACAGAGTTCGGCCGTGTTTATAGCTAAGGGACGAAACACAGACACGTCTTCTTGCACATCACACTTAGTCCAATCTCTTCTTTTCTACTATTTTTTACCACTGCAGGAGTGCCACTCAGTAGTTCCGCTTGCTCGTCCGCAGTTCTCGATTCCTGTACATATTCCCAAATTTAGTATACGATTCCTTAAGAGAAAAACGCTCACGTGCACTGCCATCACAGTACTTCATTGGAGATGTGCTGCAACCTACTTATAATAATGTCTGCCATGCACTGTTCCATAGCTCACGATTAATTTCATTTCTCGATCACGCATAACAAAAAAATCCTTTTATTAAATATTAATAAAAACCCCTACTTGTATTTCGTCAGTTGGTATATAATCTTCGCAGAACGGCAGTCCTTGCAAGCGTCTCCAAAGACACGTTTTTCCTACACTTCGGTCTCCGCGTATTACGATTTTCACTAGAAAAGCACAGATTGAAGATCGGCTTACAAGTATTCTGCTACTACTGTCATACTGACAAGGTCCAGTTGCAGTACTGAATGGAAATGTATGCGACTTAATGGGCCGAAACATTCTAATCCAATTTTTATTTTAAATTTTAATTATTACTTTCCTTTTGGTTATAACTTTTTTAATAACCCCATAAAATATTTAAATTACAAATATTTAAATATACGATCTTTGATCAAAATTCGGGCTAAATATGGTTCAGAGGCTTCACCAGTACATCCCCAAAGGCTACCTACCAAAATCATAAATGAAGATAGCGTGAAAAAAAAGAAATCGAAAACTTACTGTTGTACTGTACTCCTTTTGCATACTTCTTCTGAAGGTCACGGCCAAGAGCGGCAATACCATGTGGCATACGCACAACACCGCCTGCATGTCGCTCAGCAGCACCGTTTTCAGTGGCACCAAATTTCTTTTTCAGTGCTGATATCATGGTCAAAAATCCGCTTTTCCACTCATTTCGCCCCGACAAAAAACCTTGAAATCGTAAGAATCATATAAAATTCGATGAGTTTTAGCGTACCTTGCCAAAAGCCACTCTTTGCAAATAGGATAAGATCTTCTTTAGTGCTCCGGAGCAACTCCTTTATCTACCAACACAAGTTTTCTTGCTTTCTCTCTTATCTTTTCCTTAACAATTTAGCATATGACTTCATAAAATGGTGGATAAGGGGCTGTACTGGTAATTATCGTCTTTTTCCACTCCCAATGATTGTCTGTATTTAAAGCTAACAGATGAAACATCGGCAAAACCGCATCATATGATCCATTAGAATATGCAATAAGCAGATGGAGACTAGATATTTTTCATATGATCTTGGCTCTCTCATTCTTTTTTATGCATTTTGTGCTGTGTAACAGCGTTACAAAACGCATATTGTCACGGGGTTGTCTGTGCGTGT